ATATGCATATATACAAGCAAAACATCAGTCAAAACCACTCCCCGTTATTATCTCTCTGTGAAAGATGGAAGCACTCGGAAATATCTCAAAAGTAACAAATACTAACAGCAACTTTTTCTAGCAGGACTTCCGATGGCTCTTCTTTCTAGCACAGCTTACAAGCATTTTTTTTTATACCTGTTTCCACTCCTGGCATGTACCAGTATCAGTTTGCCACTGAAACTAGTTAACGAATCATAGAGGGGGTTAGATGCCTATCGACATGCAAAAGTATTTGACCGAAACCTATTTCTCCTCCCAAGCACAGGCTTATTTTATAGTAGTAACAAGTTGCGTCCGAAAGGAAGAGGAGTGACCAATTCCTTCCTCGACCTGAATAATTTTCGAGAAAAGGCTCCGTTCACGACATACGTAACTCGCATTAGTTTACTTTTAATTAATTTTAACTTTTGGAGAATCGTGAAATAGCTGGTCTCTCGTTCGGCTTAACTGTTCATTTGCAGATGTCTATCTTTCTGAGCGGACTTTTCTGTAGTTTAGGGGGTTTTAGGTCAATGTAAGATTTTAAAGTCGAGCTGGGCCAAATTAATCAAACAGGTCCATTTCAAATAGTCAAAATTTTTTATCAGTAAGCCGTCGGTGACTACGTGAGTCCCTCACTGATACCAGTGGACTGTCACTAATTTAACAGTTGAATTAGTCATTCATCGTATAAGTTAATGACTTGGTTGCTCAGTAAGCTAGTTATTCATTTAATCAATAAATCTACTGTTTTCAGTCTGTTATCAAGTTTATCAGTCACAAGTGAACATAAAAATTTTCTTCATTTAATTATCGAACAGTTCTTAAACTGGAAAACATCAAAGGCAATTCTGAAAAATAAATTTTGTTCTTGAATCGCTCAGAATCTCAGTTTCCTTGTTCCTCTCTTTTTTTGTCTTGTTTCGCCCTCTCCATCGTTGCCATCCTACATTCCACGTATGTCTAATGATTTGAACGATGTTCGAACAATTTTCTTCCAAAATAATGAAGTTAGTGAACGACAACAGAAGGAAGAGGCAGCAGGACGGGACAGTGATAAGTGGTGGCAGGATGTTTGACCCAAATCAACATGCACAAAAACACTGGGAGGCAGTTGGTTTCATCGATATTATCAGCAATTCGGAGAGGCGGCAGGATGGACGAATAACAATAACAACTCCTCCATCAAACAGTCTTCTCGCTCGACTTTACGAATAGCCTAATTTTCTTGGTAATAAGCAAAAAACATACTACCAAGGTCGCCCAGACAATCATTGTGAAAATGTTACTGAGGCAAAACTCGGGCGCTGGACACATCTCCGACATATCTTTATATAACATTCTGTGATTTTGTATTTTGTGCATGTGATAATCT